TTACTAACCAGACAGACAGAGAGAGAGAGAGAGAGCACCAGTAACAGAGAGTTGGGCTGAAGAGGAACGGAGAGTCAGGACTGGAGTGCTGGGAAGAAGACAGAAGAGTTTGACAGAGGTCTGGGAGGAGGGGGGGACCAATCAAGAGTGCGAAGAAGAAGCGGAGGAGTCAGGAGTCTGAGGATGCACGGAGCTAGCGGGAGGAGCTGCTGAGCGTGCAGCAGCAGCAGCCTGGGCACACTTACACACTCACACACACACATACACAATACACACACATAGACACACACTTCCTAGGGAAGGACAGTGTGTTGTACCCCCAGTGGAGGATGAAGAAGCACTCAGCCCGAGTGGCTCCTCTCAGCTCGTACAGCACTCAGGTCCTGACCTGCCCCATCTCTGAAGGTAAACTGAAAGAACCATAAAGGCCCAAGATGCCAACTATACTAAACTGTGTATATCTTTTGTGTATGTGTTAGCATGAACTGAGTTATTGGCAGCATTAGCTCAGATTGGCTGCTTAAAACTATGGAGAACTTTTATCTAAAAAGATGATACATATTATTTCCCATAAGGCGTCACATGCACTGAAGTGTCATGTAAAGTGTACAGGTATTCATATCAAATACAGATAGTGTGGTGTGGATGTGCTCTTCTTAACTCAGACGTGTGCTGCATTTGAATGTCAGAAATTAAATCAGCTACTGAATTGAGCAGTACTTTTTCCTCTGGATGGTGTAAAACACACATTTGTATCATTTCGGTCTCCTGCTGATGCTTAATGTGTTGACACGAAGTGTAGTTGTAGTGGCAGCATATGTTTGGTTGTTTTTGGTTGCCCTGTGTGGCCCAGCACGGATGTAAAAACAACAAAACAGGTTCAGCTACTCACATCTGTTCATGCTGTCCATCCCTCATCTAACTGAACATTTCTACTCCCCACTCTTCATCATCCTCATCCCTAAAGGCTTTAACTTCACCTAAAACCCTCCACCTTTTAACTTTTCTAACAGGGTGATACTGCTAATCACCTTTTAATCAGTATCATCATAACCACGTCACATCTTCAGACCTCATTTGAATAAAGACTTAATGCTGTTTGGCCTGTAGTACGCCTGCCTAACACTGCAGACATGACTGAGCTTCATATTGGATTCAGCAGGCGTCCATCCATCAATGTCACTGGCATGCAGCGTCAGTGGCGGGGATAAAACACAGAATGGATTGAAATGTGAGGTTCGAGCAGCATACTGCGTCACACAGAGTGGATAAGCTTTGTTAATGGGTGCCAGTAGTGACTGATCCTATGCAGCACTGTAATTTCTGTAATGAAATTGCATGATGGTAACGCTTTCAAATACTTCTTTTTCCAGCCATAGTGAGCGAGTCAGCTATTCCGTGAATATTGATAAACATTTTTCAAATTCTAAAAAGTTTCGTATTGTATTAGTTAGCATTATACATATAGCTTTTAAAAAGCTGTTTTTTAAATCAATTCTGTGGATTCCTTTTTGATGGAGGTGGAAAGGAGCTTGCCTCATCTATTTTTAGTGTTTTGATGTATTTGTGGAGAGTCTATATTTGAAGGTTTAGGCATTTTTTCATACTTTTATGATATTTAACTACAGAAACCTTCTGCATCATCATCTTTATGTAAAATAAACATCCCATATCTCATAATTATGCACCAAATTAAGCTGGTGCTCAATTAATAAGTCTAAGTACTTTAAGAGTACTCTGTTATTTGAGCAGTTTTCCAAACAAGTACACTTACTCCAAGTTGACTGAAATTAACCTTAAATAGCACTTTTTCTCCTTTAGTGGAGTATCTCACTACAATACTCTGCTGACAGCCTGTGTCAGGGATTATTGTTTCTTTTGCAACTTTTTAGCAGTAATATATAAGTCAGCAATAACACTGTCTGTTATGAGAATACAATTTTGGCCATGAGAGTTGCTTTTATGAGGCAGGGGAATAGTAGAGTTATAATATTACTGCATCTTGGCATCAGATCAGCCTGTAGTGGCTCTTATCTCAGGACAGAAGAGCCCGTATTCAACACTAAAAGCTTCTGGTTTTGTCAGTGCTATGAAACAAGAACCATCTTGCTTGGTGGATGAGGGGAAGCAGGAAGAAAGAAGAATAAAAGAGCTGCTTCTCTCTTGCAGAAATTTCTGATCTCAGTTTTCCAGTTAGTAACCACCAGGCTCATTAGGTTGATTAAGAATCCTTGCTGTGGCAGAATGTAATTAAACCAAATCTCTTGATGATCCTGTAGAAAAGAAACTGTATCGGTGTTGAACAATTTTCTTTCACCACATACCAGATCTGTTCCCAGTTCGGATAGACTGCAAAGTGAAACATTTTATCTGAGGTTTTTATCTGAGAGGGTTTTTTTAGTCTGTAATGAACTGAACTGAACTAAAAAAGAAAGAGTTTGACTTCATCAGTGGGTGTCTTCATCAGTTTTACACTTCTTAGATGCAGTTTTCATTGTCACTTACAGTTTAAAGGTTTTTGTAGTCTCTTGCTTCAAACACTGTACTGTGAGTGGAAAATGTTAGTTCTGCAGTGTGAACCGACTGAAGGCCAGTGCTGCACTGATGCAGTGGTGGAGAGTAACTACTTACATGTACTCAAGTACTTTACTTACGTACAATTTTGAGGTACTTTACTTGAGTGTTTCCAATTTATGCCATTTTATACTTCTTCTCAACTACATTTGGGATGGAATTAGTAGTACTTCTTATTGTACTAAAATTATCTGACAGATGTAGTTACTGGTTACTTTTAAGATTAGGAAATTAACAATAAAAACATATTATAAACTTTTAAAGTACACATTTCTCTTCTAAACTTCTCATATGGTTTTATTTAAATAACTGTTTGAGACCCACAAAAGTAACATTTTCCGACATTTCACAAAAAAGCAAAGATCCAAAATATGAATACAAATGTGTGTAGCACAGCTTAACCTTCTGACAATCCCTCAGATTTATCTTCCCTTTGAAGGCGACCTGATCCCTTGGTTGGAACAACTACTGGACTAAACTGCCAAACTGTTTATAAAGTGATTCAAACGCGCTCCAACATGACCAGTTACAACAGTTAAATATGTGTTATGCATTGATGCATCAGTATTACCAACCTAATCATGTAAAATGTGATAATTCAGTTAAGGATCTGACTACATTTTCCACCACTGCACTGACTCTAATCTGTGAATTTATATTCACCATTCTTTCTCGTCAGTCATCACTTAGCTTTTAATACTCTTGCCAGCAGTGAGCTCATGCAGTCATTAGCTTATAAAATAAGTTTAGCAAGCTTGGTTAGGTTTTTATATAAATGAAAGAAGTGGCCTGCCTGGAAAAGACATTTATCAACTTACTTTGGCATTTTCTTCTCTTTGTGTCCAGTAAACATGGTGGACACTTTACAATTCTACAAAATGGCATCTCACCAATGTAATGCTTTACACATTATTTACTTGTCAATACAATGTGCTCTCATTAGACCTGTCAGACTACAACTTGTACTCCCATTGTCTGACTTCCTGCTAAGGTCTTAGTGCATATAACTATCAGATGCAATAATGAGAACCCCTAAGATTCTACTGTAGAGAAGAGATACTATGGGTACCAGTGTGTTCCAGTGTTTGCAGGGCTTTAGTGTCTGTAGCCATGGTGGGAATGGCAGAGCTTCACGTGCTGAGCTAGCAAAGAGAGCACAGGCAGCAAACATCCAGCACATGTCATCTCTTATTCCTGCCTTGGTGTAAATTGATCACACTGTTGAAAGTTAAAGAACGGATGTGAGTTCTCACAAAATGCTCACACACACAGCACATCACATATTATACAGCACAGTTAAAGGTCTACAAGCTATTCACTACTGCAGTCCATTAAGGCACTGGGCCAGATCAACCACGTGTCACTGTCATCTATCTAACTCGCCATCTCTTCATCCGTCTATCTATCTATCTATCTATCTATCTATCTATCTATCTATCTATCATCTATCTATCTATCTATCTATTTATCCTATCTATATATCTATCTATCTATCTATCTATCTATCTGTTTGTAATTTTGGTATATAATTTGTCTGGTGATGATATCATACCTCTTTCCCAGTTATCCCATAAAATTCTCATTTTTATGTTCCGATATAGCCCAGACGCATCCAAACCATGGATTCAGAGCAGAAATGTATCAGCAGTCAAAACAGTGGCTGCCAAGGTTGACATGACTTTCTTGAGGAATGTCATGTGGTTAGGTTTACACTTGCTTTTGGGGCATCAGGTTTCTGTGCACACCTGACTACAACGGGTGTACAGTACGTGCTGCATCGTGAGGCGACAAAGCTATTTATGACATGCACAGCCACAATGCTAACCCAACACAAAGCCTTGTCTTATGCATTAGAGCCTTTACAGCAAGAAACTTTGGTAGTGACCACTAAGGGTGATTGATGAATAAATGCTTATATGCTTCCCCATATGCAAGGTTTGGCTAATATAAATGATTTAGGAACACAGCCAGCAGGCCAGTAGGGCTTTGAGCTAAATGCTAATATGACAAGATATTTCCCTAAAAACCAAAACCTCATGGTGGTGCTACAGGAAAAGTTAGGTGATCCCCAAAGTCATCCGGCTTCCTCCTCTCAGCACCATCGATATCTATGCAAAATTCCATGGCAATCCATCCAATGTTTGTCAAGAAATTTAAATAAAAGCCAAAAATGTCAATGTCAAAAACAGTCAGGGAGATTACCTAGGACTGATCTGGGGAGCATGGATGTCTGTAAAAGGCAATCCATCTACTGTAGTAGTTATTAAGGACTGGACTGGAATTAAGTATCTCAAAACATTGAGGCACTGTAATTCTAATTAATTCTAATCTAAAAGTAAAATTGTAGAGGCAGATAGACTTATAAAAAAGTAGAGCCCACAGTAGCATTTTCTGTTATTGTCTAATCTCCTATTGTCTCCCATCAGAAGAGGACGGTTCAGAGTCTCATGCAGAGACACCAGGCAGCGAGACCAGCGGCGAGAGCCGGTCCTATCGGAAATGTACCAACGCAGTTCTGAAGGTGCTGGGTGGTCTGCTGATGGTGCTGTGCGTCTCATCCTCCTGGGTGGGTACGACTCAAGTGGTAAAGCTGACCTTCCAGTCGTTTTCCTGTCCCTTCTTCATCTCCTGGTTCAGCAGCAACTGGAACATCCTCTTCTTCCCCATCTACTACTCTGGACATGTGGTTATCACACGGGAGAAGCAGACCCCCATACAGAAATTCAGGTAAACTGCCAATAACTATATTTGTCCAATTGGATTTCCTTTCATAGTAAGGTTTTACAATATGTTCACCACTGCTGATACATAAAAGAGCTATAGGAGACTAGAAAGCTTTTTCCTCAATTATCACTGTACTGGAATAAAAATAATATAGGCCTTTCATTGACAATTACAGATGAGAGCCGTCTTACTGTGTTTATGTAAAGGAAAATAAAGTAAAAATCCCACTCTAAACTGTGTTATCCAAGTAGAGCAAGACTATCGTTTTCACAGTAAACCGAGTACCAGCTTACCATAACAGCTACACTACTGGCCACTAGAGGCCTTACAAATTTTAAAACCAGGGAACTAAGCAACCAATATTTCCATCATCAAAGCATGGTCCTCTTGATAGCAAGGCTAAAAGCCTGACAAACAAAGACACTGTTCCATGAGGAGAAACGGGTTGACACGACTTCCTTTAACCCTCTGTGGTTTGTTCTCGGTAACAGGGAGTGCAGCAAGCTCTTTGGGGAGGATGGGATGACTCTGAAGCTTTTTGTAAAGAGGACAGCACCCTTCTCAATTCTGTGGACACTGACCAACTACCTGTACCTTCTGGCCTTGAAGAAGCTGACCGCCACTGATGTCTCTGCCCTCTACTGCTGCCACAAGGCCTTCGTCTTTCTCTTGTCCTGGATTGTCCTGAAGGACCGGTTCATGGGTGTTCGGGTCAGTATGAACAGTGATTATAATAATATGTTGAAGAACTGTACTTCTTACTTCTTAGGAGTACAATGCCAATGATAACTCTGAATCTCTACCTGCAGATTGTAGCAGCTATAATGGCCATCACAGGCATTGTCATGATGGCTTATGCTGATGGTTTTCATGGTGATTCCTTTGTGGGAGTGGCATTGGCTGTGGGCTCGGCCTCAACATCAGCTCTCTACAAGGTCAGACCACTAAGCACATTACAGGTTGAACCATGTGATTTGCCTTTACACTGACTTTAATAGTCACTAAATTAACAGTTGTCTCCTTATCACCCAGGTGCTGTTCAAGATGTTCCTGGGCAGCGCCAACCTTGGAGAAGTGGCACACTTCCTTTCCACCATGGGCTTCTTTAACCTCATCTTTATTTCCTGTGTGCCCCTTATCCTTTACTTCACCAGGGTAGAGCACTGGGGTTCACTGTCCTCACTGCCGTGGGGATACATGTGTGGACTGGCAGGACTGTGGCTGGGTGAGAGTGCATAAACATCTCTGAAGAAGAATGAGGATCATGGTTTCATCCATGTGTTGAAAAACAGTTTATTTTAGTAACAATTTTCAGGGATCACCAAAGTTTTTACAATGAACCCTTTCTATGTCCCTTCTGGAACCTCAGTCAACTTTCTCCTTTCCTGTATATATGCTATGCTTTGAAAAGAAAACCACATTTTAAAGATGTTTAAGAGATAAAAAAAAATGATGATGAATGAAAATGATGTCAATTGATTAATGCATTTATTGATAATCATTTCAGCTCATTGTTACTTCTATGTTTTTCAGTGTTCAACATCTTGGTCCATGTTGGTGTGGTGCTGACATACCCCATTCTCATCTCCATAGGGACACTGCTTAGTGTACCGGGCAATGCAGGTAAGATTTCTGTATGTGGTTTAAGTATTACCTCCAGTTTAGTGGTTATTATTTCTTGAATATTATGGTGGAAATGAGCAGGATTGTGAAAATGAGAGTAAATGGCCACACATACTGTGGTTTTGTCTTGAGAGGTCAGCACTTAAGGCCACTGTAGCAAACAGATTACACAGCAAGTGTGCCTCTTTCGTCCTGGAAATCCAATCATCAATGTGCCTAAACAGACCCTGCAACTATTCTCTCGCTGAGGGAGGATCAGGTTGCCAAGGCGACACTAAATGCCTGCAGACGAGTTATTTTCTTTAACAATGATGGACTGCATGAAGGTCAGTGGGTTACGGCAACTTGTCCCTGGCCTCCAGACCGCAAAGACACAGGGGATAAAGTGGATCGCTTGTGCTGATCATAAGCCGCATTTGCTACACTCATCCCCTACAGCCGCAGTGTCCTGTGGTTTATCTTACTTTATGTAATTAATCTCAATTTGTTTTTGTTTCTCCCCCACCCTCCTTCCCTGTCCTGCACTCCGGCTCCCTCTTTTGTTCCTGGCTTTCTTTCACCTGCTGTAGCCGTAGATGTTTTGAAACATGAGGTGATCTTCAGCGTGGTGCGCCTGGCAGCCACCTGCATCATCTGTCTGGGCTTCTTGCTCCTGCTGCTGCCCGAGGAGTGGGACTCAGTCACACTACGTTTCCTGGCCAACATTGCAGACAAGAAGTCAGAGGAACACGGCGAGGAGCTCACAGAGTCCAGTGTCAACACTCGAAGCCGCAGTCGAGCAAACGGCGCTGTCTCCATACCCTTGGCATGACGGGGCTGAGTTCTGCTAGTAGCCTCTGTTAACCAGTCTTGAAGCCCTGTCTGCTCATGTTCCCCCATTGCCCACCTGAGAGGTGTGGCAGGATGTTCGGTCCACATGGACTCTCTATCAGGAAGGCAGGAAGTATTGTCTTGAACTTTAAACTGGAGATGCATCTGCATCACCGCCACTTCACTGCAGGAGGGGGAAAGCGCAAACATTTATGGATCTTGCAAATTGAAAGGGTGGAAAGTGTTATTTACTTTATTGAAATACTTACCACGCTCAGTCCCGTTCCTCGCACGCACCCAACCCAAAAGAGCTGTCTGTTCTCCCTTGACCTGCTCTGCAGACTGTATTCTGTGAATATAAATATTGGCAGGGCCAGTTTGGCTCAATCTTATATGTATTTATGGTATTTATTTAGAATTGTATCAATAAGAGTATTCATTTTAAATCTTATTGAATAGTATTATATACAAGAATGGCAATTATACTATGCGTAATGTACAGGCTCTTTTGGTTTTATAATAAAAGACTTAAAACCCACATTCATAGCAGTGTATTACTAGTTGTTGTAGTTACTTGATGAACTCAGGACCACATGCATGTGTATAGTTATTTAACAATATTTTGGAACATCCGACAAGGATGCATAAATTGCTGATGATGCTGGCAACACATCACAGGTTCTTACATTAAACAAGCAGAATGGCATTCACAAAAACCATACCACAAAAAAACACACAAAAAGGCTGAAAGAGAATAGGGACCCCTCCTCAATGGAATCATATATGCAACAGGTATATAAACACAGACAATGACAATATGAAATAGAAAGACATTGCAATATTTTGGTCATGGCCTAAGTAATTCTAAAATCCTGGCTATGGTCCTACTTGCATTTGGTTCCAATTGAATCCACTCACACACATTGGCACAAAGACATGACAAATGACCACATGGTCTAATGTTAGCAACGGCACATACTTTGATGTTAAAGTAAGTTTAAGGTGTGATCACTATTTTTGAAGCTGTAGAAAAAGTCTTATAAGAGAACACGAGAGCTTGTTGTTTCAGCCATTAACTTGTCATGGCATTAAGTCATGGCCAAGTATTTTTAGCACAATTAAGCTTTGTGATTCATACAATATTAGTAATCAGTTAAGTGCACTGCATTGATTTAGCAGCAGTGACTTTGCAGAATTCTCCTCGCTATATGATACAATGCTTTTCTGTGCTGCACTTAGCTGTCACCTAACACACATACACTGCAAAATGAAGAAGATTGAGAATGATTGTTTCTACTATAATCTATCCTCTTTCACAGATACACACAACCTGTGGTAATAATGCATGCCTATATGACAGGCAAATGAAAACACCCATGGGACATGTTTTGCCTGTAGAGCATAACACTGTGAGACGTACTTGTCAAAATGACTTTCTAGTGTCTCATAACATGGTGGCAAAATTAAATTTGAGTCCAAATAGTGCTACTGAGATCTACTGAGATGATGGGGGTGTCAGTAGAATCATTTGTCAGTCTTTTACATCACTCTCTCACACACACACACACACACACACACACACACAGTCCCAAGAGTCTAACACCACAGTGCCATTATGGTTGGCAGAGTGCAGTCAGTGAGTTGAGACCTCTAATGAAGCATTTGCTGAAGTGACAGTTTCAGCTTAACAACCGCAGTAGCATTTTAGCATCTTAAAATAAATGAGCTAGAAGAAGGAGAATGTGTAAATGTTCATATGTTTATTCCATGATACAGTGTTGCCACCCAGCTGGATGCTGATAAGAGGCAATCAGAGAGGGGCCTTAGGTAGTGGATGTAAAATACAGCTCTCGCTCTTCATTAGAGGAAGCCTCATGAATTTTTGTACACACACTTACTGGAAACTTACTGGAAGCAAAATATGAAGAAGGAGAAATTACAAAGAATTACACTGCTACAAGTTCCGGTCATATTACAGGTTGAATGCAAATCAGCATCATTTGCTAAAAAGGTCCAGCAGTCTGCAATTTTAAAAGTAAGATGAGACAACTAATAGTGCTCTAAAGAGGCCAAAACACTGTGTCCAAACTGCAGACGCATCAGTGAAAAAAAGCTAAATAATTAAAATAAGAGTCTACAACCATACAAGCTGCTTTGGCACAGCAGTCCTTGAGCTAAATGTCAATGTCAGCACGCTAACAAGCGCATAATGATAGCATCTTTGTGTTGGGTTATCATCTAATTTGAGTGTGTTAGCATGCTAAAGTGTCAGAAAATAGTGAATAATGTCCATCAAGTTCATAGAATCCCAGTTGACATATTTAAATGACCCTTTATGTCTGATCAGTGGTCTAAAGTTTCTACTATCATAGGAAACTAATCAAAACTACACGGCAGTGCTTTGAACTAAATGCTCACAGCTCACATCAGCATGCTTTATACTAAGTTGCTGACAATGCTGATGTTTGGTATAATGTTTACCATATTAGTTTAGCATGTTAGCATGTGCCAGTTGTAATGTGGAATGGGTTGGCGTCAGCGGTGGGGAGTGAGGGTTAATTGTTATGTATTTGTTTGTGTATGCTGTTTGTTACCCTTGTTAAACAATAAAACATTTAAAACCAAAAAAATCACGTTAGAATACTAATATTTGCTGATTATTAGAACTAAATCCAAAGTACAGGCTGATGGGAATAGTTGCCCATTTGGTCATAAATCAAGTATTTGAAGGACAGAAACATTTTGACCTGATGGTAATAGACTACTACATGAAAGGTCAGGGCACCATGAATATCTGCACCAAATTGAGATATTTCAATCAAAGCTAGAGGAAAAGAGAGGGGGAACACCAAAGTCAGTAACATTCATTCTGTGGGGGGCATGAATATCTACATTTCATTTATCAGCAATCCATCCATAGTTATTGAGATATTTCAGTTTGGACAAACGTATGTGGACAGACCGAACCAATAGACATTGCTATCCCTAGAGCCATGCCACTAGCATGGCTAATAACCAAAATAATTTAGCTTACAAACTGTTTGTCTGCCTCCCTGTGGTTTTCTTAGCTCTCATGAAGTCACATTTTTCAGTCAGTTAACAATTTCCCAAAGAACCTGCCTCTCTCCTCACCCCTCTGGGCTTTCCAATATGCAAGGGGTGCAGGGAAATAACAGGTTCTTTCAAGCATTAACTTATGAGTTACAAAGTAACCTGTAGGGAGAGTTGCCATAGAAACCTAGCTCATTATGATGAGAAAGACAAATATGAAAATACACACCTACTCTTTTAACCACTACCAAAGGTGATTGTTGCATAGATTCTTTGGCACCAGACAGAGATGCTTCAGGACAAACATTAAGATCACCAGCAGGGGAGATGTGAAGACAACCAGGTTTGTTTGGGAGCAGCTGGAATAACTGGGGTCAGTTGGATAGTTAATTTTAAAGGTGAAGTTATTCTGTAATATACAAAGTTTTCCTGGGAGAGACCAAAAATCTCAGAAGAGCCTACACGAGAAAAGTCAATAAAACCAGTGGACCTACAGTAACAGAATCTTTATGTGGCTGATGAGAAGACATTAAAAAGGTGAGATTAGTTAATCGTAATTAACACCAAACTTGAAGAAAGATACATTAACTTTGAGACTGTTCATGTCTCATGTGTAGAACAGTAGAATTTAATATTTTAGCTTGTCAGCTTTTGGACAGGGAGTGGGACAATGGGCTCCACAGGCTCCAGACCCAAGGTGCGGAAGGTAGCTCCATGTAATAGCCTGCAAGAAGAGGGGACACAGCCCGAACCACAATGGACCCTCCCTGCTCTGCCGGTCACTGGGGAGCGGCTGTCAGGATCTCTGGGACAGAGAAAGATAACCTTACCTCCACTGAAACAGGAAATAACTCTTTCCACACTCTCAGGTTAGTAGGTCTTCTGTCTCTAATTTTTCATTCCCACTCAGGCTTTAATTATATTTTACAGACCTGTGTTGTGATGCCGATTTAGATGTGAAATAATAACACAGTATGTGCATGTGTGTGCTGTAAGAACCATGCTTTGCAGGAAGCCTACCACCAAAGCAAAGCAACAATTCAAGCATCATTCACTCCCATCCACCCCGAAGACCCCAGGTTAGAGCGGCAAAATCAGCTGCCTGATATAGTTTTATTAACCGTAACAGGCTTAGTCTTGTTGGCTGATTCATTTGAGAAGTTTCTCATCTGTTCAATTCTTTGCTGGGACTCTGGCAGACATAATTTAGCATTATTGTTTCTGACTGGTTGTGATTTTTACCCAGACGTCCCATCATTATCTCTCCTCAGGCACTGCAACCACTGGCCCTTCAAATTGGCCACACAAGCACTGCCAGTCAAATTGCCATGGTAATAGAAAGAAAGAAAGAAAAAGAAAAATATTGCTGCTGACTGTCCCAGCGTCACTACCCTCATGCCATCTCAGAACCCAATAAGGAATTTGATGTTTGTTGTAGGGCAAGGACTGCAGAGATGGGGCTGTCCAGCTATTTTCTACAGCTGGCCAGACAGGACACTCTGGCACCGGCAGAATCATTCAGGTAAAGCATCTTGACAAAGTATGGAAGAGCTGAAGTGCATCTATAACATCAATAATTTATATTATACATTTTTATATTGAGGGAAAATTAAAGTGTGCAGCAGTGCTTAAGAGCGATGGGATGTGATGAGTGTGGGGCCTTCCTGTCCCAGTGGATCTGATTAAAGTGTTGGTGGAGTGGGAAGCAGGGTGGTCTACAGCCATCACTGGCCCTCAATGGAATCTATTTTCAGGGTAAAGGGACCAGAAAAGCCCCTACTATTAGATACACTCTCGTTGACACAAAGAAAAGTCACATGATTCATTCTATTGAATGATTTCCTTTAAATCCACATCTGTCCATAGAAAATATGTTTACTACAAGTCCCATAAATCATATGTATAAATGTGTTTATTGCAGTGGTGGAATAAGTAGTAAGTTGAAATAAAAGTATCAATAGCATAAAATACTTTTTGTCCTCCATTAAAAATCCTACTTAAGTAAAAGTACACAAGTATTATCAGCTAAATGTACTAGGAATCATTTGGTCCCTGAAGATTAATTCGATTCTGTAATGATTTGGTGCCATACAAATTACACTGAAAATTGAATTACAGTAAAAGTACTTATTCTACAGAAAAACGGTCCCAGTGACTGATATATTATCATATTTTACATTATTAGGTTGTTAATAATACTGATGCTTATTTTAACCTTTTTATATTTGGCAGGTGAAGCCAGTGGTTCCCAGCCTAGGGCTTGTGAGATGACTAATGCGCTAGGAAAAAATGAAAAGCGAAATCCTGTCACATAAATATGTTTTCATTTTTAAGATTAATCTTCATTAATTACTCTTTTTTTTTTTTTAAAGTTTAGCAGGTAAAGCTCTCTTTTGTGGAAGTACTAACAAACTAAAACTTGACTGGACATTTTTGTAAGGGGACAAAAACCGAAAAGGCTGAGAACAACCGGTTTAATCTGTAACTGACTGAAGGCTCATGTACACCTTCAGTTTCTTGTAGACAGGTGCGTAGGAGGAAATATCCACAGGCAAGAGAATGGAGAACTCCTGCACACTGTCCTTTTACTTACAGTAAACTTTATTAAAGAAACTATGCTTTGGTCCTTAGTCCTTCATCAGGTAAATAAATGCAGTGGAGTAGAAGTATAAAGTAGCATAAAATGTACATCAAAACTATACAGTGCTGGAGTAGATGTATTTGGTTACTTTTTACCACTGGTTTCTTATGGCTCTGCGGTCTTTCTAGGGAGGGTTCCTGGAGGCCCAGACATCTCTCACTCAACAGGCTCACCGGCGTCGGCGAGCTCACCTCCGACAAACCAGAGAGCAAAGAAGACATAAGGTTGTCTACACAGTTAATGGTAGGGCTGCAAGTGATCATTTTAACAAGCAAATTTGATACAAAATCTATCTATAATTTCTGAATGAATGATTCCAGCATGATCTGGTAATTTCATTTTGCCTTTCAGTTGGAGGTGCAAATACAGAAGGGATCCAGAGGGTGAAACTTATGAGGAGACCCACAGAGAGGGACATCTTCTGGGATGAGACCACAGGAGAAAGTCTGGATCCCAGCTGCCTTCTGGACCAAAAATCTCTGCCTCACCTCTGTGAAGAGAAACAGCTTAACCAGCCAGAGAAACAGCTCCTTTTGCAGAGAAGATCTGCAGAGAGATCAAGCTCAAGGTCTAACTGAAAAAAGTGGACACAGCGGACTGTCTTTAGACAAAAACTTATGGACAACTGAAAGGGAAAGAGTGAGAAACAGAAGACAGGGGTAAAACACAGAGGGATGGTTTGATGCGGACTAAGTCTGCCAGAAGCTGTTAGACAGGGAGGATAGGAGGTGCAAGAGGGATAAGCTGAACAAAGAACACTTTGTCTGGCAACTTGCAATATAAACAAAACTCTAGATGTTCTTGAGATATTCCCCTCATGGCTGAGTTTATGGTGCCCTCTATGGGTGAAAGTGATGCACAAAAGTGACAAAACGAGCAGTGAGTCTGAAGCTCATATAACCTTCTCACAATATTGATAGCAAACATCCAAAAATACATTTTATATTTAGTTAAAAGAGTTGGTATTCTAATCAGCCATATTTGAAGCTTCTGGTCTATTAATGGGCATTTTGTATAGAGGTTAAGACAAAAGAATCCTACAGTGTCCTAAGATATCCCTTTATTTGAAAAGATCTGTGCTCTTGAAGAATAATTAGAATAAAAACAGGAAACTGCTAATTGCACTATCATTATTCAAGTGGTCTCCCTGAGGCCGGCTCTTAGCGGGTTTAGAGAGGCTGAGAGGAACTGGACTCCTACCAAACACCTGAGGCCACAGTGGCCAATTTAAAAAAAGCTTGGTCCTCAGGCTCAAATAACAGGGCTGGACAGGAATTAAATCAACAAAGATTATCTGGCGGTGGTTGAGTAGGACTATTTCAATAGACACATTAAACTGTTAAAGAAATCAAACCAGTCTACATGAACTTTATTATACTCTACCACTGGGTGTCATTATTGGGCTGAGGGACACAATGAAGTGGGTTACGGCTGCAGTGTTTATAATAACGTAGTAAATGTTTTATTATGGTAAACCTATGCAACCTAATGATATATTAATATGAGTTATAGCAATCCACACCGCTGCTTTACTTTCACAAATGTATTATTTATTTTGATCATTATTGTACAAAAGTGTTAATCCCTTTCCTGTATGTGTGTATACAAGTGTAAACAATGATTAAATAAATAAATGATTAATGATTCTGAAAAACAGGGCCACATGAAAGGTATGAGCTGAAGGCACTGGAGCAGAGCAAAACATTAAAACGAGTCCATCTACTTAGCAAGCTTTTCAATCAACAAAGCAAAGTCTGCCAGTGAGAGGCCACTGACTGCAGACTTGAGGAGCCAGACTGACCACATATTGGGATACTGAAGAGATTTAGAGTGGCCCAACTCTTCAAAAAAAAACTTCTCCTTTTCCAGTTCGCTAGCCACACACACTGGGCCTTAAAGCCAAATCATCGTGGAGGGGGAGAGCCGAGAGGTCTCGGTGTCTGCCACTCCGTACTGCTACATAAAAAGAAGGTGAAGGATGCCGTGTGAGCAATTGGTTCCAATTGACAGAGGATTGGTCATGGTCAGCCTTCTGAGTGGAAATCCACGTGAGAATGTAGCATTTGGACCAGCAAGGGGCACAAGAGGCCAACAGCAGACAATGAGGGCACTCAGAGGAGTCTGGCTGCTGTGGAATAGTGGGGCACAATCTCCTCTGATTTAACCCTTCATCAGCTAGTTATTCAGTCAACCTAATACACTGAGGTGGAGCTTTCATAGTAGAAATGTTACAGAGTTAGTAAGAAACTAATCATATTTCAGGTAATAGTAAACAATGAAAAATTTCCCACCCAAATAAACCCTTTTTTTAAATCTTTAATTTAATTAAATATTTAATAATTAAATACTGATTATAAAGGAAAGTCTACCATGACATTTGCGTTAAAACAATAAAGATCAAAATCATGTGCTTAAAGTTCTACATTAACTAGTTAAAGCAACTATGCAACTTCAAGAGGCGACCCAAGCACTTCCATCCTTGTGACTTTTTCACCAATTAGGCTGGTCCTGCTCGCTGAATGGGACCGGCTGCTTGAAAGTCTCAGAGGGCCAGAGGGTCAGCGCTCAATCACAGTCTGGTTGGAGAGGTTGTGTGTTTGAACTAGCCACTAGTTGACAGGGCGGGGACGGGGTCAAAAGAGAGGTGGGGGAGTGACCGGTGGAAGGGGCAAGGACTCCTGCCGGCTCTAAAAGAGGAGCCTTTTGTAGCCAAGACACTGGCCAGAGCAGCCTGGCCTTTCATAGCCCAGCCGCCCCTCTCCTCCAGGCCCACAACAGCTGATGACAAGGCCCCAGCTGCTAATTATCCGGCTGATGGAGAGTCACTGAAGTGGGACTGTCAGAGCAAGGGGTGGCCCTTGTGTCTGAAATGGGATAAATTTGAGGGAGGGTGGAGGCTGGGGGATAAAAGAAGTTGGACAACAGGGGGAGTTTTTTTTTTTTTAAGTATCCATCCAGTAACAAAATTAAAACTTCCAGTCAGAATTTGTACATTTTGAACGGTGTACTATCAAAGTGAAAGTAAAATTATTTAGTCATATATTGTACATGTAAATGTTAGAAATGTTAGCTGTATAAATGATTTGCCATTTACATTTGTGAGCTCTCCAGGAACAACAGGATTGTAACAAGTAGATTTTATGGGGTCACATATCTGGTCTGGATCACTGTATAATATGCTGACAGGGTCTTCAGTCCTGCTACAGTATGGTGAACTGTGCACCTTTCCACCATTGGGTCCATGCTACAGCATCATCTGCCCAGAGGAAACTGGAGCAGTACCTGTTGAATTCCATATGAAGTACTCTTTGGATAGAAGTTCTCTGGCTGGAAATAAGACGGACAGATTTATTTTCGTTACAGAAACGTGCATTTGGGAAATATTTTGATACAAAAACTGTTGTGAGCTTACATGTTACAATCCGCGGCTTGGCAGAGGAATAAACCTGCACTGAATGCTGGTCCACACAGCACCCAGAGAGCGTCATGTCAGGCACTTTGAAATACAACTGTTAAGATAACAGAGGAAGAGTTAATCACTCTACAACCTAATGATTATATGTTAATAGATTCCTTATCCATTTGACCTTATCCCATGAGAAAGCAGCTGTAGCACGCTGTAGCTGTAAATTAACCAACTGGTTCATGTATCATGAATCACAAATCTTCCGATGTTTTCCTAAAATGAATCACCACACACATTAACTTACTTTGATATAGGCTGTAAGTTTGGTGCAGAGGGGGTCAGTGGGTCCTGGTGCCGGCCCAGAAAAGCTGATCTTGCCTTCCATTGTGACCTCCCGAGATTTAGGGAACTTTTGTCCTAAATATCAGTATATCAGGGGAGAAACTACTCATTAGTTTCCTATACTGTATACAGCTGCAGCGAAAGTGATTATTTTTTTTTTTATTATTCTCAGGAGCACTGTGCCTACCCAGGCCCCAGACCAGTAGATTCTTCTCTTTTGCAACATCCAGTTGTCCGGAGCTCACCTTCATATCCACAACACCCATCTGATCCCTGCACAAGACGCAGAGCACACATGTGGATTTTATCTCCTGGTTGCACATACTTGAGTTGGGTTTAAGACTTGACTTGAGATTATTAGTTTCACTTAGTTTAATAGGTTTATTACTTGGCTGTAGAAGGACCCATTTATTCAGTTTAAATAATGATGCCTGAAGCCCCTGTTCCATATTACAAAGGCCAGTGTAAGAGATCATAAAACAATTATACATTATGGAGGAAAATGTTTTCAACGAGAGATTAAAAAATACGTCACTACTGTAATAACTGGTGTTAATAATGTTAATGTTTAGTAATTCAACAATTAAAAAACTAATTATCTCATTGATGCCTTTATCTAATTTGCCAGCTGGAATTAATTTTACATTAGTTTGCAAGCATAGCTACAGTATGCGTGCAACAGTATGCAATAAAAAGATTTTTTTAACATACTTGAAAATTTGTTGATTATCCAACTTATTCCAACTGAATAGATTATTACTCTCAGGCTCTAAAAAAGAATGGTGTCTTAAAGAACTTAATGTGTTTAGTTAATGAGACAGATTTTTAATCTTGTAAACACTAAAAATGTTAAAAGCACTCTTAAAAAAAGAGCTCATGATTACTGATTGGATCAGGAAGACAAGTTAACCTCAAAGATGGCATAGACTGTGAGGCATTAAACCTCTTTGCTCTATGGGAAACAAATACTGGAAGGTGTTCGATCCTCTGTGCTGCATACCTGTTAAAGAATGGCAGGTGTGCTTCACAGTACTCAAAGCTGTTCTTCACACTCTCATGAAGTTTGAGGGTTACTGACACACGCAGCTGGTTCTCTTCTTCCTTCAGTTGATACGAACCGAGGATAGGAGGAACGGGGACCTGATGAAAAATGACATTAATCCCTTTAGCATAAAACACTGTGGATGTGTGGATTTAGAAGTATGTTAGTATGTATGTTTTATACCTGAGATGTATAGCTGCATAGTCTGAAAGGCTCCAGGGGAGGAGAGAAGGGGAACTTGTATGGCCCAGAAAAAGCTGAGCCATCATAGCTATCTACGCTGCTGGCAGTCAGGATACTAGAGTCCAGTGAGGTAACACAAGGATGGACCAGGATGTCCTGTAGTGGAGAACCAATTGGTGGCAGTGTGAGGGTCACAGTCACATTTGGGAGCACCCCTTCCACTTCGCACTGTTGACAGGAGAAAAAAAGTAGAATAAAGGAAAAGAATGTAAACAAAGTAAAAAAAAAAGAATTATAACATCACTTGCTTTCATTTACTCTGAGCACTTACTTTGCACGTCACAGTGCCATAAACATCCCACAGATCCTGTCTGCTTCGGTTACCATACTGCATCGAGCGCACTGTTTCTATCAGTGCAACGTTCACCACAGCTCGACCACGGTGGAGCCCAGTCTTCCAGGCTGGCTGCTTCTGATTCCCAGCGGGAGCTGGCACTGTGGGTGTAGCAGGTGCCGCCAGTAGTGGCACATCCAGAGGTGTGCCAAGTGGACAAACATGCAGGAGTACCGAGGGCAGCATCAGCAGGCGAGAGGCCAGGCCCTCGTTATCAGGCTTACCCCCAGAGCCAAGGAGAAAGGTCTGCAGACCGGCCAGGAGTGTGAGGCCCTGAGAGACAGACAGCAGGCTGGCAAGGGGTGGCCGTGGCTCAGCAGGGGCATCCACTAAAGGCAGGCAAGCTAGAATAAGAGGCCCTTGCGATATGGCCAACACCGGCCAAAGTATTCCCTTTGCAGGACTGTCCACATGCAGCTCCAGGGCTGGTGACCGCTGACGATGAAGGCAATCATCTCTGAGAGCTACAAAGGACTTGTCTGAGTCTGAGAGTCCCAGCTCAGTGAGCAGAAGCTGCAGGACAGTGTGTTCCTCTGGGACTGCTATATATGAGGATCCTGCCAGGCTCTTTGCACGGTGCTCCACAGTAGCAAACCTCCTGTGGGGGGAGACACGAGCATTACAAAACACTGCAGGCTACAAGCAGTGTGGCAGCAGAGGTTTTATTACATTAGAGCAAAACAGGAAGTGGAATATGAGAGGGTCAGTAACTCAGATACATACCTTGAACAGCGTACTGACACATTTTCTCCCTTCTCGTGAGAAATAATCCACAAAGCGCGCACACTCATTTGTGCGGCTCCACGGAAGTCCTTAATTTACAGCCTGTTGTGTGACTTCAATGTTAATATTCGCATCTTATGGTGCAAGTAGTTAAACTCAAACCTTCCTCACTGTGTGAACATCACAAACGCAGCGATTCACTTCCTGCTGTTGTTTCACGTGACAACCACCGCCAATCAGGCGACATACGCGCCTGCGCACTCGCACGCAGCTGTCCCCACCCTTCTGCACCCATACAGGAAGCTGGAGAGCTAACAGCTAGCTGTCAACAAAGGGCGAAACTGTACGAAATCAGCAAATCCATGTGGAAGTCGGTGGTATTGCCGACTCCGAGCTCCTTCCTCTAAACTGCATTTCACTACCCCGCCAGCTGAATACTGAACATGGCGACGACTGCTCAGCTGTTCGAGGTAAAATGACTTCTGCACCGGAGAGCTGTGTTAGCTGTCAGGCTAGCGAGGTTGCTAATCATCATTAATGGCAGCTTAACAGTGCTGTCTTTCTCCATGCTCAGTGTGTAATATATATGGTATATAATGACTCACACAGCTGGGGAGAGACGTTTGTTTTTGTCTTAAGCAAGACGGGATACGAGGCAAATGTAGTTTATATAGAGTTAATCGGGGAAACGTTAATGTTATTCAATGTGCAGTCAAAGCCACACAAAGGCAGTAATAGTTTATAGCATGGTGTAAGGTCATTCGTTCAGTAAGTCTGTTGTTGTCGTGTTTCGGGTTAATAGCTGGTGTTTGACAGATGTTTTTGTGTGACCATCTCATGACTTCCCCTCCCCCTCAGGAGCCCTTTGATGCAGATGAGTACATTGAAAGGTTGGCATGGAGGACCCCTGGAGGAGGCTCCAAAGGAGGAGCTGAGGCATTTGACCCCAAAAGGTACACATCTTCCTTTCCCTGAACAATCAGTATGTTAGCTGGTTGTCATACTCGGGTTTAACCTTGACTTTAATGTCAGTATTGTTGCTTATGTATCACCTGGTTCCTATATACAGATTTGCTGTCTCATTTAAAAACAATGCACAAATGTTGACCTTTTAAAAGTATTTTTCCACAATCAAAATTTACATCAGAGAGATAACATGCTGTGTAGATGCCCTTGCATTGATTGAGCTTTATTGTCTTGCATGTACATTTAGCTTGATTATGAATATGGTAATGACGAGCTCATTTCTCTAAAATATTTCTGTTTTCTATTGCAAATCATATAGCTGTATAAATAGGCAATGCTTTTCTGTTCATGTCTGCTGATGGCAAAACACAGCTGATCATCTCTATAACAATGCAATATCTAGATTTGACCTAATACTGACTTTCTGACGTATTCTGAAATGTAACTTACAACTCATTCTTAAACATTTTCATCAAAGTAGATCAGTGGTTGACATTAAGATATTCTTCCTCCTCTAGGTTAAGTCTATATCTACTATATATATATATATATATATATGTACACACAATCTCCACTGACATTATATTATTTCTGTTCGTCTTTCTTGGCAACTTTTAAAGGGGTTAATAGAAATTTGTTTCAACACAATACTTTAAATTTATCAGGTGCATTTTAAGTTGAAAGTCTTTTAATATAATTTATTACATATTTATTTACAGCTGTCAGTATCAGCTTGCTAAATACTCAAGAGTGAAACTGAGTTAGTCCTCCTGCACTTACTAAAGCTCATCTTGGTTTCTTCTATGCTAATTTAGTGCTTTTGATGGTTGGGTTGAAGAAAAACAGTAAATATCTACGCTTAAGATTTTTTTTCACGGTATTTTCGTGGCTTGTTGTTGTGTTTACACTCTGGGACCAAGTTATTTCTCGTAAGCGAAAATGCCATAACAGTTTAACTGTACTGAGGATCCATCCTGCCTTATCTACTTCCTCTACAAAACTGTTGCCACCACCTCCTCGGAAGCTCTTAGCGAGGAGTCAGAGACAACATATCTGTGGAGGCCACCATACTGTGAGTCACCAGCCAGGGAATGAGTGTCTATTGGGAAGGGATGGGAGATGTCTTTAAGCTGTAGCCAGTGCTGAGGGAATTAGTCAAGAGATTATACACTCATCATTTTGGGATGTTTCCTACTCTGTGAAATGTGGTGCTGACTTAGAACATTTGCTCTGCAGTCCTGATGGCACTTAAAATGCAGCTGACGAAGTTGCTAGTTTTCAGAGCTTCTTAAGTCTGGGGACCCAGGACTTAAGCATCCAGCTCTATTCTGTAACTAACTATAACTATAACTGTGAGGTCAGTGGGACAGGGTTAACCTTGTGGTACCCAATTACTCTTCCAGAGTGAGAGCATTTTTTTTATCTACTGTCTGTTGCTGATCTACATTATTTCTTTCTGTAACAGGCTGTTGGAAGAATTTGAGAACCACATAGAAGAGCTAAAGCAGTTGGATGAGAAGATCCAGCGACGGGTGGAGAAGCTTGAGCATCAGTGTCATCGTGAGGCCAAAGAATTTGCCCACAAAGTCCAAGACTTGCAGAGAAGCAACCAGGTTTGTTACATAGTCAAGTAGTCAATGACACCCACGTTTTTCACTTTTACAGAATTATTATCTTTTCTTTACATTCCTTCTGTTCTTGTCAATTCAGGTGGCCTTCCAGCATTTCCAGGAGCTCGACGAGCACATCAGCTATGTGGCAACCAAGGTTTGTCACCTTGGCGACCAGCTTGAGGGGGTGAATACACCTCGGCAGAGGGCTGTGGAAGCTCAGCGTCTGATGACATACTTCAACGAGTTCTTGGACGGAGACCTACGCAGTGACGTCTTCAACAACCCGGACAAGGTGAGCATGCTGCATACGTTACTTCTACTTACTTCATGAGGTGTGTGACCATTGACAAGGACCCCTGCTGTGATACTGCTGGAGGTGAAGAATGAACAGGATTAGGAGGTAAACCATCCATATTAATTTGTCAAGTTTATCCCTTTAGTTGGATCCCTCGGCTAATTTGGATTAATAAACTGTCATTTGCTGTCTGACAATAGCTGGCTGATTGACTAGCATGGATGTCAACATGCTCATGTCAACCCTAATTGCATTCACAGAAGGTTGTCTGGGAGTGAGAATTTGGTTGGTCCTCAGCTTTGTGTCGCATTACAGCAGCAAAGAGCTTGTGGCATTATGGTACTTGTAAGGGCGGCGATAACATGCATGCTAGAAGATGAGATGCACACTTTGACTTAGTTCCTGCCTACACAGATGCCATGTTGATGTTCGACGAGTGACCCTTAAAAGTTTGATTTTGCAGTTTTGTAAGCGACAGTAGGGGGATTGGAATGCTTTAGATTAATTCCTGTTAGTAGCAACATCATTAGTGGATACAGAACAGCGAGTTTGGGGGTCAATCCCAGAGACGAGAGCTGGAGATGGAGCTAGTTTTCCGGAGAAGCATGCAGAAATATCTGGCCAGATTCCTTTTCCTGAGCATACCTCCAGACGAAGAGGAAAGAGGAAAGCTGCAAGTGAATAGCTGAAGGGGGATGGCTTTGCTAATCCTTCTGAAAGGGAGGGCTGGGCCGCCAGCGTGGAGACAAGTGCTGCTAAACCCTGACTGCAGGGAGACGGCTACATTACTTACATGGGATTTAGCTAATCTTAGCTGGGGGACAGATACTTAGAAAACCTTCGCCGAGCAGAAAGGCTGGATCCTCCTCACGGGAGCAGAGTAATGATGTTAGCTGAGGCAGGCATCTGCGGGAACAGAGGAGTTGCGGACGGCGGGCCTTTCGTAGGTCTGGGGCTTTTTCAGCCAATGTGTATGTCAGGAGGGGGGGGGGTTCTCGACAGGGCCCCCTTTTTTTAGACAGATATCCCTGGCCGGACAGATTATTGAAGGCGATTTAGACTCCTGTGGGATTACAGCCCATTCAGAAAAGGCATGCCAATAAAGAGTTGGATGTGCTGCTAAGTCAGGACTGCTGCTGTTGCTGCTGCCGATGCCCAGGTGAGCGCAGCCTGTCTGTTATCAGCTCCCTGTTCAACATGGGGAGGTGGAGGAGTGCTGCTCTAAAATTATGATCCCCCAAGTGACACCGCCGGCAGCCTGCCAGCTTTCTGTCTGGATGTCCACCTCTTATGGTCCTGTTGTGCTCTCTTTCTCTCTCTCTCTCTCTCTCTCTCTCTATTTTGCCTCACCTGATTTTCTCTCTCACGCTCACTCTTTCTCTCTCCCTCAGATTAAGGAGGCTGCTGATATCATTCAGAAGCTGCATCTCATTGCCCAGGAGCTGCCATTCGACAGGTGAGTCAGGCATCCTGGGGGGCAGCTTTAGACAAGAGCACTGTCAAACAAAAGGAAGGTGGTGTATTAGTGATGTAGACTACTCACAGTGTAAGCCACACATGACATATGAAGTATTAAAACATTTAAATTCAGTATCATAATGTTTCTTGAAATTAAACCCACATTTACTTTTTAAAATGTATAGTAGGGTATAATTTGTTATTGTCTCCTTGAAGATTAATCATATTTTCCTCTGACAGATTTGCAGATGTCAAGGCAAAAATTGCAAGTAAGTTTGTAAAAAACTCATCATTTTCTATAGTGACCATTACAGTTACATTTAGAGGCTTGCTACAAATGATAATATTGTTTTGTGTGTCTTTGTTTGTTTGTGTTTCTACCCAGGTAAGTACCATGACCTGGAGCGGCAGTTAATCCAGGAGTTCACTGCTGCCCAGCGCAGGGGTGAGATTGGACGTATGCGGGAGGTGGCAGCGGTTCTATTACATTTCAAGGTGACCTGGAAGAATCATATTTGATGTCTACATTTCATTTGTAGTCCACATTTAATCTAGCCATAAGTCTTTTTTTCATACATCAAGTTCAGTATCAGTGAACGTTTCTTCAAATGTAGCTTTAAATCTGCACGTCAGTGATATGATCTTGCAGAAAAGTAACTCGTGTCTTTTTCTACAAGGGCTATGCACACTGTGTGGATGTCTACATCAAGCAATGTCAGGAAGTGAGTGCATAAGTATTTATACATAATATTTCACTTTTTGATTGGCCAGTAATATCCACTGACTTATGTTAACCCTTTATTTGTCTCCCTAGGGGGCCTACCTGAGGAATGATGTGTTCGAGGACACTGCGGTCCTCTGCCAGAGGGTCAACAAGCAGGTGGGCGAGGTCTTCA